CGGGGCATAGAGGAGAAACAATAATGTACAGTATGTGGAAAATAATGTGTTTTTTGAACCTTAAACCGCATAAACACATTTCATTACACCAAATACACCAAATAATGTTCTTTTTAGCAACCTCATATGACCCCTTTAATTGAATCATGTGAATGAACTGATTCACCGAACGAGCAGCTCTTGACACAGGCGGATCTTTACCTCTCCCACAGCGTTTGACAGGATGTGAACGATCTTCTCGTGAGCTGTGGCTACCACGCTCTGACTGTTGATCTCGATGATGCGATGGCCGACGCGGACCCCTCCTCTCTCTGCGATCCCCCCTCGCATCAGACTACAGATCTGAACAAAACACAAACTCTTTTAGTAGCTCGTAAAACATGACAGAAACTGACAACCCATTTCTGATGTTTAGATGTGAATACCCACAATGCCATTCTGTACACTGAAACCCAGCTGATAGCGCAGGTCTGGTCGGCGAATGAGCACCATGGTCACAGGAGGACACCTGACAATGTTCAACTTGATCCTGGATTGAGCCTTCAGCCCCTGAACACAGAACAGGTACCATTTGTGAACAAGGCAATCCCAAAGGTGTTTTTTACACTACCATTGAGAAATTTTAACCAAACTATGTTACAGACTTTTCATTAAGACCCTAAAGAATCATATCAACTTGTGGAAAATGGGCATCCGATGACCCCTTTAATAAAAAAATATTATAAATGTACAAGGTAAAAGAAATGAGTCCTACTTTAATGATGCTCTGACATGTGGAGAGCGGCAGTCCCACCAGACTGGTGCCGTTGACGGTCATGATCTGATCGCCGATGTTCAGTCTTCCAGACTTGGCCGCGGGTCCGCCGTGCATCAGGCTGGCGATGATGACGGTGGGAAGGATGGAGCCCCAGCCGGACTCCACGATTACCACACCCAGAATCTCCCCTTTCTGCTTCTCAATGTACACCTGACACAAACGCATCCGACATACTGACGCAGTGTGCTCACAGAATACTGCTTCAAATGTACTCTAGCAGTGATTTTATTTAGTGAAGGTCCTATGACTGCTAAAGAATGTACAGAAGACGAAGCCATTTGTGTCCGATTTGTGTCCCAATTGCGTCCCCGTGACTCTTTACTGATAATTACAGGTAAAAGCATAAATAATGAACTTAGTCATATTATTTGATAGTTATAGTTATTAGTGTGCATGGCAAAATTAATTTTTAAACCCCTTTAAGCTTTGGAAAAGCCCAGTTTGAGCATAATGAGTGAAAAACATACATTGATTGAAATGTGGTAAACCACTTGATAAATATAATACCAGGAATATCAAACCATTTTAAGGTA